TTTTTATCATTACGTATATGCATTTGATACACCGCCAATTAAAAAAAAACAAGTTATAGTTTTGAGCAATAATTTCCATTCAGCTGTTTGTGCATTTAATCTAATATTTAAGTGTCTTGATGAAAAGTGTTGCAAATGTAAGCAAAACGTAAAATACAAATATCTGGCTGCTTTACCAGATATTATAAATTAACAGACAGATATTGCAGTAAGTAACATGTTGCAAATGCACTTGTAAATGTAGGAGAAACAGAAGTAAAGTAGACTAGATTTTATTACAGTAACCGAAATTTTCTGAAAAATATCCACAGGGTGTTTCAAAAAACATGTGCCATCTCTCATGGGAAGATTCCTCATATAAAAATATGATTTATTTTCCATAAAAACATAGAACCGATTCGGCTTTGTTTCGCAGCCACAGGGTGTTAAAACCTTAATATTTTTTCGATTTATTATAATTTTCTTCCCAGTACTTTTAGCGATTCGAATGAAATTTTAAGGATAAAAGTTCATATTTTAATACTAAAAAAGTGTCGACATACTTGACTTGACCACTGAGTTTTCCTCTTTTTACAGAAATAGTGTAGTCGTTTAATGGACCGTTTAAGTGTTGCCTCTCAATATTTTGTCGATTTCGGCCTCCTTGATGAGAGAAAGAAGTGGCTGGCAATATAAAAAATGCCTATAATCATGGGTTAGAAATGCATAGTTTTAAATCTACAGGATGTCAAAACTTTTTAAAATTAGTTTGGTAATAATATTTAATAATAAATCAGATAAAATAAATAATGTAGTAAGTTTATTTTGATTTTAGTTTAATGAATTCTGATTAATACAATTGCATTTATGTCATCAAGAAGATCGAAATCGACAAAGTATCTAGAACTTTTGAAACACCCTGTATATAAGGGCCCCCGTGTGAAACTTTCATTCCAGTAACTCTCTTCTTTTGGACTTATTTGTAATAAGAAAATATGTTTCTATTATCGAGATCTACCAGCTCTGAAAATATTTGCACTTATTTAAGACTCACCCTGTATAATTCTTTTTCCAATTATTATCATAATTTCATAATCTAGGATCCACAAGTGTTTTTTGAAATATATGAAAAATTTTGTATAAGCATATTTAAACCTTTCTCTCGAAGTTGTAAAAATAAAAAAAGTTAAAACTCAAATTAATTGATTTTAAAAACTGTATACTGTACTAATTTGGATACTATATGTAATTATACCATAATTTGTTTGTCAAACAAAGATAGATGTAGAATGTTTAGGAGGGGAGTTAATCACCGCGACCTTATAGATCTATTGTGTGTAACAAAGATAGATAAAAAAACTGTGTTCCTTTGTGGCATACACTACGAAATGTTGTATTTGAAATAGTAAGTAATGAATTAAACAGAATATCTTGGATAGATAGATACTAATTATAAAACTAATATACAAAACATATACTAATATACTAAATACAAACAATACAGTATAATAGTAGAAATTAATTACAGCCTTAAAGATGCCTTTGGATGATAACAAATAAATAGTTCTTATGGTATATTAAATTAGAATTTCTTTAACTGTCAACGTCCAAAATTCAATCTGGAAAAAATGTGACAGAGATATTATGTGACCAACCTTTATTACTTATACAATACAGCTCTTGTGTTTAAGCCGTTAAGTTTTGTCATCAACATTACTACTACTTTCCACAAAATTAGTTCTTGATTCCATTTTTACAATCTAATATTTTATCTTACTCAAGAAACCGTTTACTCTATTCTATCCTGCTTTATACAGGGTCCGGCAATAGTGCGTCGGGCATCTGTAGCTCCTAGAATAAAAAACTTATGAATTTTGTTTAAGTGCAAATCTAAAGTATGTTCTAGGATGTATTCCAGGAAAATATTTTAATTTCTGTAGGGTGGCCCAAAAAAGTGTGAATGGATCGGGATGATTTTTTTTAATGGAACACCCTGTATATTATTGCATTTTTGGCTTCTTTTCAAATCACTTTACATAATCCTAAGATATAAGTAAATATGTTTCGATAGTTTCAGAGATATTAATAAATAAATAAAAAATATATATTTTTCTGCTTTTCTTAAAAAAATTATTAAAAATACGAGAACTGTCCTGAGATCAAAACTATATTAGATATTTACTTTAGATGGTCTGTACTTACTTTGCTATGAATATGGTAATCGTATATCATACAGGATGTTCAAAATTTTACGTCAAACTTTCTAAAATATAAAATAATTTTTCTTCGTTTTTTTAAATGGAAAACCCTGTATATTATTTTTTCAATAAATGGAGAATTAAAAATTGAACATTTTTTGTATTTGGAGTATTACAAAATTTTTAACGGTTTCGCAGATATTCTTGATTTTATATTTCAAATGGCATTTTCCATAGTAATTTTTTATCAAAGCCACCCAATGAATTTTCTCTCGTATTTTACCGTTGAGAGAGCCATATGAAATAATACTGTGTGTATCTGCGAAACCATTAAAAATTTTGAAATACTTTAAATACAAAAAATGTTCATTTTTTAATTGTCCATCTAATAAAAAATAATATACAGGGTGTTCCATTTAAAAAAACAAAGAAAAATTATTTTATATTTTAGAAAGTTTGGCCTAGAATTTTGAACATCCTGTATGATTTAAGATTACGATATTTATAGCAAAGTTAAGTATATATCATCTAAAGTAAATACCTAATATAGTTTGGATTTCAGGACCAGTTCTTGTATTATTAATATTTTTTTAAAGAAAGGCTGAAAAATATATAATTTTTATTTATTTATTAATATCTCTGAAGCTATCGAAATATATTTATTTATATCTTAGGATTATGTAAAGTGATCTGAAAGGAAGCCAAACATACAATAATATACAGGGTGTTCCATTTAAAAAAAAACCATCCCGATCCACTCACACTTTTTTGAGCCACCCTATAGAAGTTAAAATATTTTCCTGAAATACATCCTTGTACATACTTTAGGTTTACGCTTAAACAAAATTTCCAAGTTCTTTTTTCTAGGAGCTACAGATGCCCGACGCAATATTGCCGGACCCTGTATATAAAACAGTTTATTTCGAAATTACACACAATATGTCCAGTTTATTTATATGTACTGGACGCTACCGATATTTTACTTTACGTTTATATGTGATAGGTAAAGATTTATAAACAAGAGTTCCACTAATAAACTAATAAAATTTACATCAGGCTGAACAATTAAACATTCTAATAAGACGTTGACTGGAATCTAAAATAGTACTTTCTTATACAGGGTAGATAGAGAAAAATCAGATTTTTAAAAAAATAAAGCTTGATTTTTATATAAAATTTTGTAATTCAGAATTTTTCTACTAGGCGATTTTTTAAACACACAATATTTTCAATTTTTTCAAAACGATTTCCTGTTTTTTAAAATCAATGCTTATCAATCAAATGCTTATTTGGGTTTGCTCTATAAAGGATGTTGCTACAGCCGTTCCATGTTAAATAATTATTTTATCCTCCGATTAATATTGAAATAATCTTAATATAGAAACTTTAGCATTCCTACATTTTTCTACGAATAGCAACTGACAAAGAGAAAAAAAAATTCTGTAACAGTAATCCCAAAACTATATCGCATGATAGGGAATAGGGAAAACATATTTGTAGTTTTGTAGGAATTGAGATAATATACAGGGTGGTCCGAAATGTGGTCCGAATTTTATTCGTATGAATGTATGTCCTAAAATGCTTAGTTTCGGCCATACAGAGTGTAGAAGTTTAGGTTAGGTTAGGTTAGATATAATTAATGAAGTAAAGTCAATATTTGGATGAAAATTGGTGTCTTGGAGTTTTTTGACATGAGAAATTTGATTTTGATGTCAATATGAGTCCTGCTTGTAGAGGGCGCCACCTACATGTGTTTTAACTGTTTTGAAGAGTAATAACTTTTCGTTCGTACCTGTATAAAACTATTAAGTGGAAAAATATACATTTCCATGCCTTTTAACGTAAAAAATGTCTTTTGTTAAAAATCGCTACGAGCAACCGTTTGCAAGATATTTAGAATGAAAATAGTCAATACATGTCATTATTGACAAAAAATAAGCACGTTGAGTATACCCAAGTAGCATCACTGATCTGACTTCGAACTAAATCTGACCTGAAGCGACGTCAGACTTTGTGCAAATTTAGGTCGGGTGCTGGTGATACGACTGGTAACGTCGCTTTCCTATTAAAAGCGACGTCGTTGGATCCGAGTCGGTAAATCCAACGATCTGTCGACGTACAAAATATCAACGTACCATTTTTATTAATTTCCCAACGTCGTTCCAACGTTGGCTTGCACGACGTACCTATACTTGAACTAGCCCGACGTCTACCCGTTGTCCGAATAGGATACGTCTCACTGATAATCCCCAAAGTAACGTCCAATTATATTTTGTTGTATTTTATGTTCATATATTTAACCTAATTTACGTATCTCTATTTACGTCCGTAAATACAACCCATTAAGTAGCATTTGCGGCCTAATAAACATCATGAACATGACCTAATAAAAAGTTTTTGTAAACAAACTTAATTTTTTTTATTATGCCTAAAAAACACTAAAAAGGCATTTAGACATTCATCTACATTTGAGCCGATGAGAAGCAAAGTGGTGTAAGTCAATTTTTTGTTTAAAGTGAACTAACTCCATATCTGAAATCTAGACAATAGGTTCTGTTTAATGGCAAAGCGGTGCAAGTCAGAAGTTAAAACGAGGGTCAACAGATGGCAGCAAAATTCAGTTTGTGAGTTAATCGGCGGATACGTTGACAACCAAAGTGACGTACGTCGATTTTCCCCGCTTTGACGGTACACAAATGCTAATTTTAGATTTTTTTTGCACTTACAGTGTCATAGTTTGGGTGTTTTTTTATTTATTTCAATATATTTTTGAGTGTTTTGTGCACCAGCTTGTTCTTCGTGGTTCATTGGCGAATTGTAAAGATGGATTCGGACAGTAGTGCTGCAGATCCTTTCGAAAACGAGAGCAGCGTTGAAATTGTTCCGGATTCCGACGAAAGCACCGGTAAAGCTAGATTTAAAATTATTAGGTGTACGTAATATGATATATAACTTTTATTTTGGGTTTTCTAGAATCCACACCTGACTCGCAAAATGATAAAAGATCTTCTAGAAGTAGAGAACGCCAGAGATATGAATGGAAGCGAGAGGCTCAGAAGAAGGCACGCAATTTTGGCCAAACCTATGTTACTAGTAAAGGGAAGGTTCTTGCTGAAAAGAAGTTTTCCGCTAACTTTGAATGCAAATGTCGAAAAAAATGTGCAAATAACATACAAGAGGCCTTACGCAAGACTTTGTTTAAAAACTTTTGGGACATGGGATCGTTTCAAACTCAAAACGCGTATCTATGTGGCCTAGTGCAGCAGACATTACCTTCTAACAGACGCCCAAGAAATTCTTCAAGACCGCCCAAGCAGAAGATTAACCATTACCGTTTCCAGGTAGAAGGAAATAGTGTAATCGTTTGCAAAAAATTTTTCCTAAATACTTTACAAATTTCTGATGGGAGGCTAACTCGAGCTCTAAACAAGGTAATGCTTGGAAAGCCTGCTGGGTCTGATGACCGTGGACGACGAGCTCCAAAAAATAAAACTTCTGTAGAGCAAATGAACGAACTTCTCAATCATATCAATTCATTTCCTTCATACCAATCCCATTACACCAGGGCTCATAACCCCAACAGACGCTACCTAGCAGAAAATTTAAATTTGCGCACAATGTACAACCTGTACTTGGAACATTGCTTGCAGGAAAATTTGCGGCCAGTAAAAGAAGCCACTTACAGACGTACGTTTAATAATTCTTTTAATTTGCATTTTCATAAACCCTCCAAAGACACATGCTCCAAATGTGATTCTTGGAAAGTAAAACTCGAAGCATCGCAGAATGAGCAAGAAAGAGCTACGATCAAACAACAGCATGAGTTACACCTAAGGAAGGCAGAAGCGGCCAGAGAATCCTTGAAACGAGATAAACTGAAGGCACAGCAAGAGGAAGGCTTTTATGCATTTACTTTCGACTTAGAAAAAGCCCTGCCATTTCCAGTTATATCAACTTCACTGGCATACTACAAAAGAAATATGTACGTATACAACCTTGGTTGCCACGAAATGGAAACTGATCTAGGTTACATGTACGTTTGGAATGAGACGATTGCTTCCAGGGGTTCTCAAGAAATCGGTTCATGTATCTCCAAACACCTCCAGACTCGAGCTTCAACATGCAAGCACGTTGTGGCCTATAGCGATGTATGTACTGGACAAAATCGTAACATCAAAATAGTGCTTTTTTTCATGCAATTAGTGAGCAGCGAAGCGAATGAAATTGACGTCATAGATCACAAATTTATGGTTAGCGGACATTCATTCTTACCAAATGATTCCGATTATGGTTCTGTGGAAACATACGCCAGGAACAAAACCATATACGTTCCTGAAGACTGGTGTAATATAATTACACAGTGTAGAAGACATAAACCATTCCACCTGACTAAAATGTTCAGAAAAGATTTCCATTCAGTAGAGCTGTTGGAGAAAGCCATAACTAGAAGAACGAAGAATGAGGACAACCAGCCAGTTAATTGGCTCAAAATTCAACGGATCAGAGTTGTGAAAGAAAAGCCTTACATGGTATTATACAAAGAAACGCTTTCCGAAGACTTTCCATTTGCATATATAAATCTAAAACCCAAAAAAGGTGGAAGACCTTCACTTCTTTCAAATATACCGACTACAGATCTGTACTCTGAGACACGACCAGTGACAGCGGCAAAAAAAGGACATGTTGGACCTTCTTCCACGGCGCCAAATACGAACGATACAACTCCATTAATGGATATTGAAGAGGAAGAAGGAACCGAACATTAATGTTATATTTTTTCGTTCTACTTTTGTGATAATGTATTTTTTGTAGAATTCTTACATTTCTACATTAAATAGTACTTAAAATAAAAAATAATGTACTTTTTTTAAATTTTTTTGCAGACCTTTGTAACTAGAAGAAGGACTCTATTGATAAGCAAAGTGGTGTAAGTCACTTTGCGCCCGTATAAAACAAAAACTGCATCGATTTTAGTATTCATACAACTTTACAATAAAACTTTAGGATGTTGTTACAACATCCCTTTGTACTAAATTTTGGTTTTATAATTTGGGAGTTTATTATTTACACAATTGCAAAACTTTGTGTTTCTCAGAAGTACTATTACTTGACTTACACCACTTTGCTTTTTACCGGCTCATTTTACAGAAAGTGGTCGAGGCTTTTGCAAAATAATAATAGTAGTAGTGATGTCTTCCCTCCACCCACGAATGCTTTTTATCCGGAAGAGATGCTGCATTACACTGGTGCATCTTAATTTCATTTTTTAGCTTAGGAAACCAGCAGAGAAAACAAAAACTAAAATATAGTTGCACAAATCCACAAATCACTGATACGCAAAGTGAGGTTACGTGGCGTACGTTGGAATTATATACGTCATAATACGATTGCCGGTCGTCCGGTTTGATGACTTCGGTCGTGTAAGACGACTAATGTTGGAGACCCGGTCGGAATTGGTATATTGGTAGTTCATATTAAGTCGGACACAGAAATCCGTCATTCTTAACAGGTATCCGATTGTCAGCCATTTTAAAATCGTTTTTTGTTTTTAAAATTTATATTCACATTCCGATTTCTAGTAGAATAATATTGATGGGGTTGAGTTTGGGGGGAACCACAGTATAGTTTTATGATTAAACCAGCTAGAAAATAAAAAAATATTTTGCAAGTTACTTTTTTTTAGATATTTTTATTTCATAAATCTACCTACTTTTGAAGGCGCTCGTTGTTTTCCGGAGTATTTTAATCAGATATATAAAAAAGTGACTTCCGTTGACAAAACTGATGTCTGGATTAATGATTCAGAATTATTATAATATGAAATTAGGTAGGCACTTATAGTTCTATTCGAGGAGTGATTATGAATCCCTTTGTAATTAGGTAGTTTGGTTAGGTTTTTATGTATTCTTGGTAGCGAATATGAAACCAAACGTAACGTAAGTGCCTAGCGACGAATTTTAAGTAACTAAAATCCAACGTAATATGACGTTGGTAATTGGTAGAATTACATTCCCTATTAGGTCAGATACCGACGTCGAGGCGACCCGAATCTGTATTCACCATTTAGGTGCAAATAAGGGTCGTCAGGCGATCGAACCGACGTTGGTACCCGACCTCGGGTTTATTGAACGCGACGTATACCCGACGTTAGATAACGTCCAAATGCTACTTGGGTAGTTTGAAATAATAAATTTGGGAAATTTTTATTTTTTTAAATTAATCATAAACTTTTCTGCGAAAAAATGATGATAAAACAGTTTCTGTTCAACTTTTGGCCGAAAAACATTTAAAATTTATGATTTCAGTCTAATAACTATTTAGTCAACATGTTTATGTCAATGATGATAGGTATTGATAATTTCGACTCCAAATATCTCGAGAACCATTACTAGTAGCGATTTTTACCAAGAGACATTTTTTACGTAAAAAACTTCGTAAATGTATTCTCTAAGTAGGAGTTATATTGACATCAAAATCAAATTTCTCAGATCAGAAAACTCCCAGGCACCAATTTTCATCCAAATATTGACGTTACTTCATAAATTATTTGGAAAAAGTCGAAATAAAAATGACACTTCTATACACCCTGTATTTCTGAAAGTAAGCATTTTAGGACATACATTTATACGAACTTTTTTAGTTATTTTTATCTGCAGAATACGCTGCCGAAGTTTCCGGAATACAATTCGGACCACCCTGTATTTAGAGAGATATCTTTATGGGATTAAACCAAATCATAGAAATATTTATACCAAAAGTCTCCGGCTTCATATCGCACGTATCGCACGTACGCAATACACAGAAAGAGGCCAATTAAATTATCTAAACAATTATGTTTATTTTGGAAAGCATTATAGTATAGCCAGCCAAAAAGTGGATGAATCAATAAGCATTCATTTAATCAGATGAATTAACTACAATGTAACAATAATTTTTTGTTTTAGATACTCAAAATCTATATCAATAAATGGATGTTAAAATACCTATAAGCTATCAAAAAAAGATTGTTAATGAAGAAAATAGAAAATCTTATAACAAATTAAAGATTTAAACGTTTTACTACAATTTGTATAAATAGTTCATGTACATTTAAAGCTATAAGATACAATAGTAACCTTCTTCAAAACATAGCTTAAGGCATTGTCTTGTTCCTGCTCTACCATTATGAACTGAGCTAATTCAAAATATCTCGTTGGGGATTTTCATTGTAATGAGCGACATTGCATCAGTGTAATTGCAGCTTAGAGAATAAGAGAGCTTCACTTAAATCATGGAAAATATTTTCCATTGTGTGTCGCTATATATTTCGAGATGTTATAATAATGCATACTATGTATGGCATATGGTATTCATATACCGTGCTGGCAACTGTTACTTTTGGGTCGGCATTTACATGTGTGGAAGCACAGAATATACTAACGAAAAAGAAGCCCAAGTTCCTTGTAATAAATCGGTTCCATTTTCGTAACGCCATCTCTCGACATAGCTGACATTTACAAGTTAGCCAAAAGGGTGCGGGGCCGGGGGAATTGTAAAATACACTTTTTTATTTTAATTATTTTTATTCGCTATTTGCAATTTTATTTTTAAAACATATTATGTGAAACAATCACATAATATGTCTTAAAAATAAAATTACAAACGGAAACAAAAGGAATTAAATAATCTGAAAATCTACAAAGTTTATTGATAAAAAAGTTAGGCTATGCAAATTAGGGTTCCCAACCGTCCCGGTTTGGCCGGGATTAACCAGGAATCAGAAAGTTTGTCCCGGCGAAAGTTTTGTCTTGGCCGGGACCTGGAAACTAAAAAAGTGTGTACTACACACATAATATATTTTAATTTCTAATATTTAATGTTTTGTTTCAATTATTTAAAAGCTTAAACATAATTGTCCCGGAATCGCCGATGCCCAAGTTGGGAACCCTAATGCAAATTGATATATTAAGTATAATCTCTTTGGTATAACATTGTTAAACAAACATTAACAAATCATAACATATCAGATCATAGAACTAAAAAAGTACTATTACATAAAAACAGGTGATACAATACTTCAAAATTAATTTTAACATAATATCAAAACCGAAAGATCAAACTGCAAACACAACCACACTTATCACAACAGAAATTAACACACACTTCCGCGGCAAATGTCCAAGAAAGACTGATCATTCTGATTGGTCCTGGTCCGGTCGTAGCTCACGTCGTATTGTCGGTAAGCAAAATCCCTGTACAAAAATTTTGACGATCAGCGCCATCACCCGTCATAATTGGGAAACTGTTGCTGGAACCATTTTTAATATTTCATTTACATGGCCCTGTGTGGAAGTAAATCGCATAGGGATCTTATTAAGTCGGAGTGAGAGGAATGCGACCGACCGACGCGACGCGCGACGGTGTGCTGTTGCGGCGTTGCCGATACGCCTTTCCCTATCAAGTAAAGTAAAATCACGATCGCAAACCGCTTATTTTTAAAAGACTTTTTTTTCAAGAGATAACTAGATAAAATCATTAGACACGTTTCTGAGCATCTGAAATGGAATTATAAGGATATCGTTAGGGTGTCATTTTTTTATAACGAGAAAACGTCAGTAATCGCGATAATTTAAAAATTCACAGTCCTTTACAAAGATGCAACGAGGGGGGCATTGAAAATGATGAATAAAAACGTAAAAATATGATTAGTGTTAATATGAGTGTATTACATACATATTATGTTTAAATAACGAACTTAACAAAAAACAACAGATTTAAAGATTCACTGAAAAAGTAGTAATGTTAACATTAAATAAAACATTATCAATAATAATTATGCGATCGCACCTATCCGTAAAACAAGCAAGCAAAAAAACCTCGAAAAAAAACAAAACAACATACAAAACATCAGGTTAACATGATGACAGATCATGATCGATGACAGATAAAGAATTCTTACGGAAAGTTACACTTTATGATATAATTTTTTAACTGTTAAAGGCAAACCCTATTTAAACACAAAACTTTTTAATACCTACTACTGTATCTAAAAGACATTTTTTTTAAATTACTAAATTCTTAGCCACGCTTCTGTTTTTCTTGGCTGTTGTGCGTCACGTAACAGATTAAGAGGCCCACGTTTGCACCACAAGGCGATGCTGCAGACCACTAGGTAGACCGGTCGTAGAAATTTATGTTATACAACTTGTAGTCAATCTACACAAACATTTCGTTATCAAAAGCTTTTTTCTTTTAAAATGTGTTCAGATTTTATAAAAAGTATAAGTCAAAATCGCAAAACTTAAATTTGATATGAGTTTCTTAGTTTTTAACTAATATAGTGGCGAATTACAAAAATTCCTTTTCAATGAAAATCAGTTAAATAAAATAATTTAATAAATTACTTTTTCCCGCGACTACGTTCGCGTTACACCTTGAATCGTTCATGCATTGATTTAAATGATTTTTTACTTCTTTATAGAGAGCTAGTGAACATAGATGTTTTTTATTTTTCATCTTTTTTTTTATTTATTAAGAGCACTAATACTCTCTTTATAGGTTATTTATTATTCTTTGAAGGATAATTGAGGAAGATATATTTCCTTATGATGTCACTAAATAAACCCTTGTATAAAATTTTATACTGTCTGGTTTATAATGTTATAGTATTGCATTTTCGTACAGCAAACTTTCATTCCCTATTCTACTCCCTAAGTGTATAAATTTCATAAATTCGCTTTATCTTTGTGTCAATTTTTATGTGTATAATCCAGAGGTCACCAAGTTT